AAGGGGAGGGAAAGAGAATATCAGGTCCTGGTCCAAAGTCTCATGAAAGTAGCAACACGTTTTCAAATAGTGTATGCAAGGCCCAAATTAATATCTAATAAAGCAGTAGGTGGTATGCATATTCATTTTTATTGGTGACCATGTACACGCTGCAGCTATTCCACCTGCTCTGTTTCCTAAATTTCAAGTTTACCCACGAGACTGTAACCTGTCTTTGTAATACTTGATACCTCTCAAATGTTTATCACATCTTTGTTAACATTTTTGGCAGGCAATAGCAGGCACTGTATTTCTAGTTTAACCAGTAAAACTGGTAGATACAACACTACCAGTAACACCTTCAAACAGCACTGACTGTTATTGCCTGCATCACTTCTTGGCAATATTTCTCATAGGAAAACAGTTGTGGCAATCTATTTATTTCTTTTTTTTTTCTTTTTTTTAATTCTTTTCCTATAAAAACAGGATTCATTCTCACTCGATAACATAATTAAATCGTTGGACAAAAATAATGATGGAAGTGTCAGCTTTGATGAGTTTGTGATGCTTGTAAAAAAGATAACTGGTACAGGACAGTAAGGCATCTGCAAGAATGAATCTCTCTACTTTGAAAGAGAAGAGCCTGGCGTTCGTGTACATTATATGTAGCCCTAAACCCACAGATTTGTTATGATTTTAAAACTTACAGAATAAAGATTTGACATATAACAAAGTATGTCTTGTATTGTGTTCCCTGCACATCCACTAGCCACACTTTTCAGCTAAGCTGCCTCACACTTAGTTCAGAACTACCTGTTTCTATTTCACACTACATTCAAGAAAGTGTCGTTTAACAAATCCTGCTCTACCTGAGCTATTATTTTGACCACAAATCAAATGGTTTCTAACACACACAAAAGGAAAGATGTACCATTCCATTTGAGGAGTGTCCCCTAGTGGATACTATCCAATACTCCTCCCAGTTCAGTTTCATCATTCACATAAGGCTACGCTTCCATACAGTAAACAGTTCAAATTTTTAAAACATGAAGTACTTATTTTCAATAACAATGTAACAATGTTAAGTATGATGACTCTAACATTATGTGTTCATTTTAAATTATATTTACATAAGTATGGACTTGTTTTGTTATGACTTTTGTAAGTAGGAATACATAACTAATATAGCAATGGAGTGATTGCTGTTACAATTAAAACATTCATTACACTTATTTGATGCAGTTTTAACCTTTTCATTGCATGATTCCCTGTGACATGTACTTTCACACCTGTAATTCATGGGCGTTATTATTTACTTTAAGAAGAAATTAGTCAAAAAGAAGAGAAATAAGAAGAATGAAAATATTGAAGACAAGTAATTCAGTGGATTAGGCACTAATCCTACTAGACAACTTGGAATTTGGGACTGAATTTTAACACTAACATCATCCATTATCTTGATAAATCAGTTAGATCTCAGAGTGACTTAAGGACTTAAAGATTCAACTTGATTGCAAAGCCTATCAAGTGCATTCAAGATCCCATACTACAGCGGTTCATTTCCCCTCCATGAAATGAGGAATAAAGTACTCCACATTGCTGATGCATGAACTGAAGCCTGAAAAATTATAATATATAAACATGATATGAATGTTCTAACAGGCTCCTGGGCCATTCTCTTACACAAACCCTTCACAGTTGTTAAAATGTGTTATGTTTCTTGGAAGAAAATCATAATATTTACCACTTTTTTTTCTGGTTTATGAAAAAAATTTATTCTAAATTAACAATATGCTTTGATTTCAAAACTAAATATACCCCTACACATTTCCTTACTAAGCTTTGTTAGCTCTTTACACACAGAATTTTAAGAGGTGCTTTTGCATGCGTGGGACATACTTTCCTTTTCTGCTCTCAGACAACCTTAGAAATTTTTGAATTCAGTCAGGTTACTGACATCCTGAATAGGAAGTGAGCATCAAGAAACAAGCATGTCATAAGAGTGTCCCCTACTGGCAAAATTTATTTCTGCACAATTTCTTGAGTTCAGAGAAAATGCACTTATTTTAGTCAGCGCAATATCCAAAGTTTCATGATCTTACACAAGATGCAATAGGTCATGAAGAACAGCAGTCACAATTAAAATTAGCTTTTTTAAATTTAAAAAAAAAAGTTAGAATTATTTCTGCAGTCATCTGTTTTTTTCTAGAGCAGTATTAGATGCAGTTGCAATAAAATTGACAAAGAACGTAATTAAAAAGCTCATCCAAAAAAAATAAATCTAAGTTTAATAGTAGAGGAAGATGAGGGATATGGAACAAAGCAAATAACTCTTTTGCCATCCAGTGAACCAGCTCATTAGCAGTTCACAGACAGTTCACAGTTTCCTTTTAAAGGAGTTAATTTTAAAATTAACATTTGCAACAGAAAACTCATAGTAAGCACTACTCTCAAGCTTTTACTTTTTTTTTTAACTTTTCTCAACAGCTATCTTCCTGCAAAGAACAATAACAATTTACCTAGCATTATTATCCAAAAGGCTAGAAAGTAAAGCAGAAAGCTTAAGATTATAAAATGGGAATATGACCTGCAAATAATCAACCAAGATGAGATCAAGAACTTGAGGGACTGTGATCAGTGCTCATGTATCTCCCTCATTTTCCCTGCTGAAATCAAACCTGTGTTAAAGAGGAACTGAAGCCAAAACCCTAAGGTGGTATTTTGATAGTGTAAATGGTATGGTCTGGCAAATACAGATAACTGACGTATCAGAAGACTTTTTTTTTCTTCTTCAGAGTACACATTTTTAATTTAAGCCTAAATGAAAGTATCTAATAGCAACTTCAAATCTCTCAAACACAGCTTATAAATCACAGGTTATTAATATTTTCAAATTCTAGGTTTCATTTCCTTTATGTTTTCATCACATAGATATTAAGCTTTAGGATTTTTTTCCCCTATAGTGTTTTAAAAACACAGTTTTGCGTATTCTACATTATGTCATTAACTTCATTATTTTTTTAATGCAGAGACTACTATTTTTCCCAAGGTATTTGAAATCTTAACTCTACAATACTTGCAGTCATTTACACGCCAATATAATTGATAGCAATAGTCCCCAAAAGAAGCAATACAGGGTTATACAGGGTTTCCCTCCCGTGTAGTTACTCATGGGTGCTTTTGCAGAACCCAGGTTGAGCAACATGGTTGTAATGACAGTCAGCAGAAACAAATGAACAGCCAAAACGAAACAGATACTAGCATTGCAGGCAACTCTCTACATTTGCACATTCTGTTGTGCATTCATTGTTGTTCAAAACAGAACAAGTCACAATTGCCTCATCACATAAAAACCTTTTACAACACTCAAAACTTTTTCCTAATGCAGACAACACTCTTCTATAGTACAATAATTTGTGCTATTTTAATTGAGAGATGGTTGCCAGTAACATCATTTCTTATTATTTCAGTCATCTGTTTTTCCTTTGGAAGCCTAATTCTGAGTTACATGATTACTCAACAATCTCAGATTTTATTTCTAATAAAAAAGGTTCAAATTTCCATAGATGCGGGCAAAAGGAAAGCAAAGTACACCAAGATATTTCATAGGTATTTAGAAGAAATTATCAACTTCGGTGAGTACAGTTCTGAATATTTGAATGCCTAGCAAAATAAGAAGGGACATAAGTAGCACTTATTTTATGGTTGTCCCTGAGTTCCCCTGCCAAATTACTTATTTGAACTTTTGTCTTTTTTTCCTTTTTCTTAAAAATAAAAGGAAATAGAACTACTGCCTCACCAGTGCCTTTCTTCTCCCTCTTCAGTTTCCAAAGGAGCAGGAACCAAAAGGAAAGTACACTGCTTTGGTCCTAAATTAGCACTCAGCTGAACCACACAGTGGCATCACAAGATATTATCAGTGCTGATATGGTGTTTCCAATTAACTTTCTCAGATAATGAAACATCTACATCAGTCCGACAGTTCAGAAGCTTCACTAATCTGCTTCTCTTCCAATTGTTTTTATTGATTTGTTATTATATAGAGTATCTAAACAGTTTTTAGCACAAGATGGACTCTGCTAAGACAGATTATTTAGCAGTTATAATTATTTATAGTGTAAATTTCCCTCTTGGAATGATTTACATCTGTTTCTTGCCCAGAACTGAGATGTCAAAGATCAGATTAAGATGCTGAAATATGACTGGTAATAATCAGTTTCAGAACCTTAATATCCATTATACATACTGGAAGCATACTGCTTCAATTGTAAACACTGTGTTAATCTTTTATGGCACATACATTCACTCCATTATTTTGTTCATTTTATGTCCACATAATTTTCTCTTTAATATATATACCTTACTTGCCCTTGAATGCAAACTGCAAATCACTCAGTTAATTACTTGTGGAATAAAATTTTGTCCTAGATATATTGTACTAACACACATAATTTCTGTAATAGAAGAAACCACCGCTAGGGCTGCAGCAGACAAGCATCCATATTCCTGACTTCAGCTAAGTGTGGAGCTCTGCATCCGAGCGAGCTACTGTGAACAACTCCTGGAATACCAGAGAGAAACTGGCAGTTCCAAAGGGTGACTCGTCCCCTCCTGATGATCTGACTGCATCCTGAAAAGGTATCTGAGGTGACTAGCTGAAATGCAGTCATGAGAAGTTAAATAAAACTGGCACTAAAAACAAAGATGACCCAGAATCAGTCTTCTGTACTATCCCTCTTGCTTCCCAAAAAATTTACCTTAAGCTTTCAACATCTTCCACATTTTACAACATATTACTATTATGAAATTGACCCCTCCAGAAAAAGAGAGTGTCTTCACATACAGTCAAGAAGGGTGAAGAAGAGACCTCTTACAATGTCAAAACCACAAATTTGATGTCAAATGCAAACGTTACCTTTGTTCACCTGAGGATATTTCCCAATGCCACCAAGTTCTAGCAGTAAGTCTCACACCGAAACTCTGAAGGTCTCTACCTTCAAAAGTTCAGGCTAGATTATCTCTCCTATGCATATAAACAACCTTGCAAACAGGTCAAATCCTTTAAAAAACTCTTATTTGCATGTTTCAGACTAAGATGTGAAAAAAAATATATTTTACTTACAAATCCCAACAAAAGTCTTCCAAAGGAAATTGAAACAGAAACAGCAGGTCACTATAAGCAACCTACTTAATTTATCACTAGAACAGATATTTGTATCCCACACCAAGTTACTACTTTATTACTCACATGTAGTTTTCTGTTATTTTTCACTTTCTTAAAAACCTTCTCTTGCTGATAATTATTACGTTTTACTATTATGACAATGTGATTCTATACTCTCCTGAACTAGGAGACACCTGGAAGAATTTCACTCTAAAATTCTACCGTTGGCACATGATACAGAGAGCTCTGCCATATGCACAGCATAGAAATTGTTCTCAAAAGGAGGACTGTAGAGGGGTATAGTGCTTATTTATACTATTTCTAGAAAGGAAAGACAATAATTTTTTGACAGCTTTCCATGTAATCCTTATCCTTTTATATACATTTATATTTTGATGATAGCTTTGTGCTACAGTTACCAGCTTTCCTTTATATTTTATTCTCTAGTAAGGCCAACTTAATCATTATTGTCTACTTCCAGCATCAGTCTACAGCCAAGGAAACTGCTAGAAAAATTACAAAAATAAAGCTAAGGCAAACCACAGAAGGAAGCAGGTGTAGGCAAGGGACTATTAAAAGAAAATATCTTTTTAAACAATACTGAATAGGGACAGCGGACACCTCTTCATGTCCTACCATGTAAAAATATAGATAGACTGTAACTTACACAGAGGTAACTCCCTTTTTAACAAAAGATGTATGTTCACAAAACATATGCAAGGAAAAAAAAAAAGATCAGTACTTACAACAGGGTTTTTTGTGTCTGGGTCAAATTCTGTAGAATTTGCATCTGAAACAGAAGTTCAAAACAAACAGAGTACATTTCCATTGGTCTACATGCACTACAAACTCCTAACAGTTCTGTGGCATTTTAGGGCTTGTCTGCATTTAAGCTACAATTGTGTATGTTGAAACACATACTGCATCACTTTTGAAGCAACTACAAGCAGCATATGACCTGTTACACACACTCCCTTTCCTACTTCCCAAAACCTTTTCCTCTCAGCTCTTAGTGGTAGAAATTTATTGGTGAGCTAAACCTGTTCATACTACTACTACTACTGCAATGGCTATGGTTTGGCTACTCCAACTAATGAAAACAAGTGAGAAAACCACTTCTCACTTTTTACTCCTCACCGCCTGCACACTCCAGAAAGACACTACAGAGGTGAACTGACAGCACACTTTCTCCTACACCCCTTAGAACAAGAAGCAGGTTTCAAGCAATCTGCACAATAGGAGTTCCTACTCCCTTGCACAGAAAGGTAGCACATGGTGCTTAGCTGAAAATGATCATGTTGCAAGAGCCAAGTACCTAATGATCATCGGATCTACATAATAGTTCTAATAATAGATACACATTTCACATACAGAATAAAATTTCTTTAAGCAAATCACATTCACACTAGTATACTAAGCTCACCTTTCCAATTCAAATGGTTTCTTGCAAATTCCACAACTGCTAATTGCATTCCCAGGCAAACTCCTAGAAGAGAAAGCAAAAACCCTGGAATTTACCAGGACAAAGAGCAGGATTGACAAAGCACTTGCTGTTCTGTCTTAAACTTGACTGCTTAGCAATCTTGGTACCCAGTGTATATGCACAGACTTACCAAAAAGCTAAAACAAAAATGGCTGCTCAACATAAAACTCACTCTTCAAACTTGGCATGCTGTAAATACCCGTGACACAATTATGTGCTTTAAGCCCTTTCAGAAATATTTTTTCCTCCCATCTATTTTACCAATTAAAAAAAATGAAGTAAAGACAAAGAGAAGCTGAAAGCCTGTGTATATCCAGATTCAAATTTTGCTTTGGCAATTATTCAAAGTAGTCACTTATAAAATTTTAAGAAATGTGTAGTAGGAACCAAAGCTTCAGAGGCACTTACTTACACAAACAGCACTTAGCTTATAGGCCAGGTGGCACCTTTGGACTTTACCATAATAAAATATACCAATAAATCAACAAAAATTATTTAATACAGCAAATGTGTCCAAAGACATCTATGTTTTCTGCACGCTGATTAAGATCTATAATGATGCTGATTTAATTACAATGAGAAGCAAAGATTCTACACATAAATACAGCAAATATTTATGTGCTATGAATATAGCAAATAAAACCTTTGGAGCAGGGGTAGTCTTTTTCTTCCTTCCTTTATACAGCAGATGCAGTACATCACTATGACCCTGGGCATTATTTACAAGGCAAATACTCACAACAGCACACACACTTCCCTAAGACAGGATCCTTCCCTAGTGTGTGTTTGTTGGGTTTTGGTGGGGTTTTTTTAAATAGCTTGTTATCAATTAGCTTGCTATACACCTCCAAAACACAATAATTTCTGACTCTAATGATCTTACCAAGAAAAGGTTTCTTCTTTGTTCTTGCCCAAGAGATGGCTTGGAGTTTGCCTTCTGTTCCCCTAATTCCAAACCCTCCAGGGACCAGAATGCCACTGTAATGACAGCCATATATAAAGCAACCAACACAGAGAATCGAGCCAGGAAAGGAAGTCCATACAAACTGAAGAAAGACTTTTGAGGTTATAACGAAGCAAGCACAATGCACGAAAGGCATGTTTTGTATGACTATTCAGAACACACAGACTTTAACTCTAAATTTGGAGATTTGCCTCATCTACCCACCCCAACTCTCATCTGACCAACCTCATGCTTCACAGTGAAATTCCTACTGCTTAAATACATATTGCTAGAATAAACTAGCTACATATTCTCAACTCTAGGATCTTCACACCAAAAATTTATGTCTAAGTAATACTGAAGAAATGAATGCATTTTGACAACAAACAACATACCTTTACAAATACAAACCAAAATCCCGGCAATCATTCTTAACAGAGACATTTGCAGAGTGTCACCACATTTACTAAGTTTTTATCTAACTACCTTTCACTATAATGCATGTTGACAAAGAAAAATCTTTGACAACTGACCTGCACTGTAAAGACAGTCTAGCTATCCATACAAAAAAAAAAACCAAACCAAACCAACCCAAAAACTGCAACTTGTCTACAGAAATTAAAGCAAAGTTTAAGGATATAGGTTGATACTATACTTGGCTGAAGCTCATCACCAACCATGCACATTTATCCCTTTACATAAGCAACAGAAGTCTGGATGCACTAAGAAATGATTTACTCAATCATTCTTTGTCACATGAAATAAATATCACGGTCTGCGTTTGGGATACAGAATACCCAATGCCACTTACTCTGCTTTGCACAGTTTGTGCCATGCCTGGTGATATTTCACTGAGTTCTCCACTTCTGTAGAACGTTCAAGTTCTGTTGAATCTATGTACTAATAAAGAAAAATATGCAATAAAATAGTCATTTCTTCCACAGAAAGAGCAGCATACACTATATAACCAACTTTTTAATAGCATTAAAACAAACCTAGTAGAGTTTCAAATGAATTTCCCAATAAACCTGTAACAACTTCACTGAAGACCCAGTATTTGTTCTGAAGACCCAGTGTTTGCTCTAGTTGCAGTAATCCATGCCCCTTTCTTTGCACGTAGCTCCAAAGCTCTGCCTGCCTCCAGTCCTCCAAGTAATCACACTTGGTAGAATGCTCCATAGCTGTGTACCCACGTTTTCTCCTATGAAAATCAGGGCACCAATCAAGGGGTGGTGCTGACCTTATCCTGGCATCCAAATGAGATGTGGCCAGGGTGTTCACTTTCCTAGCTTTTGGGTGTTGCAGTTTATCTAATCTTATCACAGACTGGATAAACCTGCATTGCATAGCCTGTGAGAAAAGCATTCCTGGGGATTGAAGTGAAAGCACCAACTGTAGAAAGAGAGGCAGACTCATTATCTATGTCCTACTAGAAATACCGCATTAGAATCTCAACTGCCATTAATAAGCATGGCTCCTGAAGTACCACTAGACCAAATGAGTGAGGTGGCTATGTACTGCACTGGGGACAAAAGATAAGAGTTTGATTCTTGGTTTTGTCAGTCTGTTTCTCAGAATAACATAATTATTAGCATCCTGCTGTACAGTCCATCCCCCATAAAAATGAGATCATCTGAAATGACCAAACTCATTTGTGTGCAGAGAAATGAAACCAACAAGAAGATTGCTGAAACTTTTCCAGATAAGATCACCTCCTAGCAAACATTTTCTACTTTTTCCACACTCCAGAAGGCATAAAAAATACAACAGAAAAATAACTACTTATGAATGTTGTTATTCTATACTAGTAGAATACTATAGGATAAAGTACAAGGACACTTTATCATGCTGGGAGGTTGGAGAGAGAAACTAATTACAATTGAAGTTAATTGTGGTTTCCTTTCCAAACATATTGAGCCAGCACATTTATCCCTTCAAGCAGCATCAACATTTCATCATTCAGATACGTGGATGCTAGGTTAGGAGCTGGATGACTCATACAATATTAAGCAGTTCCTTCAGAACACAGGATTATACAGAGAGCCTTTGGACAAAAGCACTAAAAAGGAGGTTAGCACATGCAGGTAAGTACAGTGGAGCCCTTGTCTGTTAACAGTTCAGCACCACACTGGAACTCCAGCAATCATTGATTCACATGCTCGTTAATGCAAAAGCTCCACCGAACTTAACACTAGCTGCACACAAATCTAACTGCACATTTGCAGACTTGGCACCTTTCACTTTTTTGCCAAAAGCAAAGTTATTTTACATACCTCAAAAATTTCCCAGTATATAGCTGCCAGTATGAAACACTATTTAGAGTGACAGAATTATGTGGGTCAAAAAGGGCTTTGGGAGGTCTCCAGCCCAACCCCCTGCTCAAAGCAGGTAAATTAGAGCAGGTTGCTCAGGGCAATTTCCAGCCAGGATCTGAAAATCTCCAGGGATTAATTCTGGCTGTTCCCACTTTGTTTTTCATACACACACAAACAACATTTTGGAGTATTTGCTCCATAATCTTCCCAGGGAATGAGGTGAGGCTGACCACCTGCCATTTCCCCAGATCCTCTTTTTTGCCTTTTTTGAAGATTGGTGCAACATTTCCCCTTTTCTAGTCATCAAGAACATCTCCCAGTTGCCGTGACCCTTCAAAGCTGATGGGAGAGTGGCCTCGCAATGACACCAGCCAGCTTCCTCAGCACTCTGGGATGCATTTTGTCTGGTCCCACGGACTTGTGTATGTCCAACTGCTCTGAGTACTTACCAACTATATCTGTATGTATATCATGGAAGAAAACTTATCGTGGAGGAAAGCTTATCTATTTCCTATAAATATAATTTTTTTTTCTCCATGATACCTCCTCCCCTTTCCCTTCAAGGGAAAGGAGACCGCTTAAGCCTCAAAACATAAGCTCGCTCCTCCCTAAGCTGAGTTTCTGGTGGTTGTTTTGTTTGGGGTTTTTCCCCACATTTTCCATGATACCCACCAATTGGTGGCTTAGTCACATAAACACATAAAGTTTACTTGAATTCTGCGTAGTCCTTATCATTTCAGAGATACTTTTTAGCAGTGAACACTATGCATAATTCCTCAGTATGTCAAAAAATATTTCCTCTTATTAAACATGAAGTTATTTTGTTTTCTTGAGTGGTTCCCTAGCTGTTTTACATGATAGGTAGCAACCAGTTCTCTGTCTCTATACTATTCAACATTCAGCATACCTTACAGAAGACAAAAGGAGAAGGACACTAAGATAAGCAGTTTCTGGGTTTTTTTTCCTTTCCTCTTGATAGAAAGGGCCTCTTCCCCCTCCCCAGAGAATACATCAACCAACTTCTCTCAGTAAAGAAGTCCTACAGAAAAAATAGTTCAGATTTGCTTTTGTTTGTGCATTTCTGCATGCCTCCCCTACTTGAAAAGGTTCTGGGATGACATCAACAATGAGAAGCAAGAGATGAAGGATTTGCAGCTGACTGATGGGCCTGACAAGCAGCAGAATGATACTGTGAGAAAACAACAGGGTGACTTCAGAGCCCACAACAGCACAAGCCACAGTGAAAAGCACATTCCACATCATCAGACACTGTTGCAACTACCTCACCATCTGATTTACAGTCCATCAGAACCAAGCAGTGATGGAGGGTACAAAACATAATTGGTTATCTTGGTACAGGGCTAGTCACCTTCTCCACCAAGTCACTGAAAACACCTTCATTCCTGGTCACCTGTGCTCTCAAGCAAACAGAAGTATGTCACCACATTTCTGGTATGAGAAATTCCTTCTTTAGTACTCAGCGTTCATGGTTTAGGGAACTTGTCTTCTCCCAAATGATACTGAAAATATCACTGTAAACAAGACTCCCATGTATTCATCACTCTGTGCTTCATTAAAGAAACTTCTGCTTGTTCTAGGTGCTCCCATTGCTTCTTTCTAGGGTAGATGGACTGAGACAACAGGATGGTGGCTATGTCTTTGGGCTGCTGCCTTTAGCGACCTGTTAAACTATCCCGGATATTAATGACCTTCCTCGTCAAAAAAGTGGTTAGTTCCAGTGAGAAACTTTCTAGAGTTGAGTGAAACAGCCTTGCACAAGCATTATCTAAGCAAACCATGCATAGCTTTTGACACACAGAAATTTTCACTCTCTATCTTCTGGTTTTTATATCACAAAAAAGGAAATGATCAACAAAGGTCACAGGGTTCAGCAACTTTCAACAGTGACCAAAGTGCAGAGACAGGCAGAGACCAAAACCTACTGAGTGCAGTACAGCCTGCAACTGCCTACTTTGATCAATTTATCTTCTATAATTCAATTAATCACTCTAAAGCAGTGTGCCATTGCTGATACTTTGCAATCATTTATTACTGTTTTGCTACTGCAAGTAGCTAAACTGTCCTCTGTACCCATTAAGTGATAATAACATATGCTTGCACACTGCTTCTCTGCCCCAGACTTGCCATCCATAGCAACAAAACTCAGCAATGGAAGCTGATAATTCCACCAGTGAGAAAGGTGATAACAGTTTTTCCCTATGTAGTTCAACTTTCTATTCTCATTAAAATGAGACAAATTAGATCCCTAAATAGTCCTTTATTCAAGGAACTACTATCTTTGAGAAACTAAGTTTATGGCCCGATTCTCATACCATTAGAATCCTGCTAAAGATAAAATGGACAGCTCTAAAAATATTAACTGAAGAGCAACAGCTTCTAGCAGTGGATTTTAAAAAAGAAACTAAACTGCTTTCCAAATTATCTATTTTCTCCTGTCTTTAAGCTAATCTCATTAACATAAACAGTCTCATGAGAAAAAGTGAAACCTATCTTTGATAGTAAATATAAATTTGCAGGTAAAGTCTACTTTTTCATCAGATCCAGTTTTGGGTAATTGCACCATTCCTTTCAGACAAGTTTTGTTCCAAATAAAATAACTAAATCTGGAAACGCTTCTTTTAAAAAAACTGACATGCTTGGCCAGTCTGTATTTATCTGCATAATTCATTTGCTAATTTCCACATGAATTAAAACTGCCTCACAGGATGAGAACTAGCAGAGTATATTCAAAGTATTCCTGAAAGCGAAATCCAGAAATCCTCACCATTAAATCCAGTTTGTGATTAATTGCCAGCGCAGAGTGTTCCAGAGCCTTGAAAACAGATGCATAGCAATCACTTAATTTTGTGTACTTGCCAACGAGAGCTATGGAACACACCTTCAGCAACCTTTCGTATCTGTCAAAACCAATTTTTTCAGTTATTACATCAATTTACACAAAGAAAACATTTTGAGTGTTTGCTGCTTCTTTAACCTCACAAAATATCTTCTAAAATCTCAAAACTAACAATGTTTTTAAACCCAGACTATTCACAAGTATTGACAGGCAGCATGCAACTGACCCCAGTGCAGTTTGGTGATTTTGCAGCAGCTAAAAACCTAACTGGAATTAAAACACTTCTAGGAAAAGCAGCAGGAGTTAGAATACCTGTCAGCCATTTTCTTCCATTTCATTAGAAGATCACTTGGCTGGTCGTCAATAGGTAAATTTAACCTCTGTTTAAAATACTTAATGATGCCTTGCTCCTCCAACAGGATTGGTACTCGATAAGTGGAAGAAACATCGTGGATAAATATCACCTAAAAAAAAAAAAGCATAATATAAAGGACTTACATAAAAATTTTTCATAGGAAACATACATTCAATTTTTTGTATAGTACATGCACTTTGTATTGTACGTACATTCTAATTTTTAAATATTTTTATTTTGAATGAACAGGGCAGCACAGCCAATTTTTAAGATTCCACTAAATCTACAAGGAAAAAGCTACCCAAAAGGTAAAAATGTGTTTCACTTCTTCATCGCATCATCATACAAAAATAGCTTATCAAGTCTATCAATGCATCAGTTTTAATACAAATATCTGGCCACACAAGCAGTCATGCTTGCTAACACTTCTTTCTCCCTCTCTCACAAACTTGAAGAAAGAAAGAACACAAGTGGAACCTAACAAAACAGACCCAATTAGGTTGCGATAAAGTCTCCTAAAAGAATTTTGTTAGTGAATTAGATTATGTAATTAATTAATAAGTACAGTCCATTCAAGGACCATTTAGTTAAGAACACATTTATAAACTGCATCCAAGCTGCTGGCACTTAAGTTCATTGCGCTTGGCTTACATGAGATCGCAAAGTTCAGAATCCTGAGCACAAGTGCTCTCTTTGATACACATGAGAAGACACTCAGTTATCCTTGAGTTACTTCTGTTCCTCACGTAAGTATGTACACATGCATGCTGCCCCAGGCCTCTCTATATTGCAAACGGCAAAAAGAATAGGGTAACCACAGCCCTCCTGCAGTAGGACTAAGGCTTATCCAACTGTTCTTCCAAACTTGGCAGCTACCATCTTAAGGGTGTAACCTAGTTGCTCTAGGTTACAGCCATGCCGACTATGGAGACTGTTATAATCCTGAAACCAGGTGAAGATGCTGCCTTTGTTTTGGTGGTACATACACTGAAGCAAAGAGGGATGAGTCACTTGATAAAAGCTAATTTAAAAAGAGATCCACTAGGAGGAAATCTGTGGATGAGACAGCATGTAGTCTTCACGGACTAGTTATGACAGTTCTGGAAACCATTTCCAGGCACACAAAAGACAAGAAAATCATCAGGAGTAGTCAGCATCGAGTCACCAAGGGGAGGTCATACTTGACCAACTTGAAGTTTATCTGGCCTGGCAGATGAGAGGAGAGCAGTGGATATTGTCTACCTGGACAAGGAAGGCTTTTAACACTGTCTCCTGCAAGATTCTCATAGACAACCTGTTCATGTATGGGCAGGATGGGCAGACAGTGAGGAAAACTGCTGGAATGGCCAGGCCCAGAGGGTGATGATCAGCAGCACAAAGTCTAGTTGAAAGCCAGTAACTAGCAGAGTACCCAAGGGGTCAGTACTGTGTCCAGTCCAGTTTAACGTCTTCATTAATGATATGGATGATCAGGCAGAGTATGCCTTCAGCAAGTTTTCAGATGACACCAAAGTAGCAGGAATGGCTCATAGCCCAGAGGGTCATGCTGCCATCCTGCCACCAGGCAGGAGAAATGTGCTGACAGGAACCTCATGAAGTTCAGCCAGGGAAAGTGCAAAGCACTGCACCTGGGGAGGAACAACTCCAGACACCAGTACATACTGGGGGCCACCCAACTGGAAAGCAGCTTGGCAGGAAAGGACCTCAGTGTCCCAGTGAACACCAAGTTGAACATGAGCCAAGCAATGGACTGCATTAGGACTAGTGTTGCCAGCAGGTCAAGGGAGGTGGTCCTTCCCCTCCACCCAGCACTCGTGAGGCCACGCCTGAAATACTGGGTTCAGTCTTAGCCTCCTCAGTACAACAGAGACATGGATATACTGGAAAGAGACCATGGCCCACAAAGGGCCACTAAGATCATAGAATTGTTTGGGTTGGAAAGAACCTTAAAGATCATCTAGTTCCAACCCCCCTGCCACGGGCAGGGA